GCCCCTCTGCTTCAAACCATTAGGGTTTACTAATTTAAATGAATAAATCGTTTAATAATTGTATATGTATATATATATATATATATATATATATATATATATATATATATATATATATATATATATATATATAACACGAAGTAGAATGATCATGTTTAATTTTTTATATTTGTAATTAAAATAGGATGAAAACTTTTATTTAACTTTAAAAACTACATTTTGATTTGTCAAAATAGGATCTATATTTTCGTCTTAACTTTGACATAAGCAATGTAAATAAAAGCTAATTTAATGTTGTTTTTAATAACAGTGTTAATACAATAATGCAATTGAATTCTGAAATGTTACTAAAATGTTAAACGTGTGCAATTAAAGCATGCCGTAAAAACAGATGATCAGCAAGTCTAATATTGCATGTGATGTAAAATATTAATCCAGCAGTGCCTGCTTTGTCAACTGGCCCGAAACAACCGTAATGCTCACAATTTAATGGCGTTTTCTGCATTTTTTTTAAAAACAGTTAATTTATCATTATTTTTGCGTGTCTGGTTCTCCTCTGTAGCACAGTCATGTCCTGAAATCAGATGGAGTGTGTTTGGTTTGAATGATTGTTTGTGCTGTAGATGGGGCTGCGGGAGAGTCTGCTGAGGTGGTTGATAGCCGCAGTCTGGAGGAGATTCTGGGTAGCATCCCTCCTGCACCGCCCCCAGCCATGAGCTCAGAGCCCGGTGCCCCGCGACTCATGATCACGCACATAGTCAACAGAAACTTCAAGTCCTACGCTGGAGAGCAGATTCTGGGGCCCTTCCATAAGGTACTAGACAACTCAAAACACACACACACACACACTTCTCAGTGGCTTCTAGGCATGACTTGATATCATAATTTTGGAGTTGGTATGATACCAAAATGTAAACCCTAGGTACTGATACTAAATCACCACCATAGGTGACCAATAACCAGCCTCAAAAAATAAATGGATTAATAACTTTATAAAAAATATAATAATAATAATAAATAAATGTTATATTTAAATTATAACATTATATATATATATATATATATATATATATATATATATATATATATATATATATATATATATATATATATATATATATATATATATAAATACTTGTAACACAATTTCATCTCAATCTGTTGTAAAGTTTACCAGATCCAGCAGCAGGTTGTGAAGCATTTCCGAAAAGACTCGAAATTGCAATGTGTCAAATACTGAATTAAGCCAAATTATGATATCACACCGTTTGAAATATAACAGGTATAAGTATTTTTTTCCATCTTGTCCATTCAGCCAAATAATCTGTTAGTAATCATTTGATGCTCAAACTGACTGGAAAGCCTTAATATAAAGACTTTTATTAAGCTGATAGAGCTCAATCTGAATTATATTTTGACTGAATTATTGAGTTAATTTAAACCTAAAATTATGTTTGTGTCAGTAAGGCTGCTTGTTTATGGAAAAAAAAAATCATTGATTATTTAGTTTGAAAGATATCACACCTCTGCGATACTCATGTTGAATAAATCATTGTCACGATAATTTCGTGATGTATTGTGCAGCCCTGTTTCAAACTCTGACTCCATACACTGATGTATATAGTGTTTGTGATGAGAAATGTACTCTAGCATCTCTCTTCACAACACCGATAATAAAGCTGAAAACCCATCTCTTCTGTGGTCACCTGAATCCCTGTGAACAAATCAGGACCCCCTCTTCATTTTGCACCAGACACTTTCATTGTCCTTTTCTGGTGTGCTTAAAACAGGTTAGTGGGTTTAACAAACCATCTGTAGAAATATTCTTCTCTTTATAACCCCCCCCAATCAGTCCCTTTATATATTATTTAGTGTATTGCCTCTTCTTGTTAAACGGCGGAATTGTCTCCTGCGAAATGTAAATGTGAAACATAAATGTAACCATGTACTTTTGCAAATGAGGTCTTTTTCTTAAATTTGCATGCTTCTAGATTGATACTTAGCATTACATTCTGTTTCAACAGCGCTTTTCCTGCATCATTGGTCCAAACGGCAGCGGCAAGTCCAACGTGATCGACTCAATGCTGTTTGTGTTTGGATATAGAGCTCAGAAAATCCGCTCGAAGAAACTGTCGGTGCTGATCCACAGTTCTGATGGTCATCCAGACATCCAGAGCTGCACTGTTGAGGTCCACTTTCAGAAGATCATTGATAAGGTGAACAGTTTCTGATGGTTGTTGATCACTGTTATAAAGTGGAAAATCTCATGATAGAAAATCTATTATGCTCTTAAAGGGAGCAAAAATTTAATTATTTACTTACCCTTTACTTCTTCCAAACACTTTTTTTTGTTCTTTACAAAAGATGATATACTGAAAAATGTTGGAAACGGTTGACTTCTATAGGAGAAAAACAAATACTATGAAAAGTATTGCCATTATTTCTTTATCAAAAAAATCTGTTTTTGTGTTCTGTACTATATATATATATCTATATATATATATATATATATATATATATATATATATATATAGATATATATATAGATATATATATATATATATATATATAAACCATTTTTATTTTGGAGTGAACAGTCTTTTTAAAAGTTTAACGCTTACATGTGTGCCGAGCTTGTGGCATCATATTTTAAAAGACTTGAGGCTGTAATTGCTGCCAAAGGTGCATCAACAAAGTATTGAGCAAAGGCTGTGAATACTAGAGATGCAACGATTATAGATTTTGGTTGTAAGATTATAGTCTGAGGAATAATCACGGTTTCACAGCTAGCACAATTATTATGCATTTATTAATTTCTAAACGCCACTAGTTCAGAAAAATCACATGAAAACTCCTGATATTTTAAAGTGTTATTTATTGCTGCTCAGTAGCCAATTAATAGAGCTTAAAATAATATAAATAAAACAAACAATAGTCCATTTCTCTCTATGTGCTAAAAAACAAGTAACATTTTTGACATTTAAACAATTTTACACTGTAAATAAATGAAAGAACAATGAATAAATAATGTTAAAAAAATTATTTTTAATGCAGGGCTTAAAATTAACTTTTTTTACTTGATAGCACCGTTGGTCCCAACTTTTTAGGAGCACCATAAAAATTTAATAGCACCCACCAAAAATTAAGGAACACCACTGCAAATTGTATATTAATAGATTTATTGTATTTGAAAACATCATCAATCAGGACTACCAAAAACCAGAAACAACTAACTAATGCTGTTATAACCTATTGATATTTGTGCATTAATTGCATAATTGTTGTCTAATAATTATCAAATATTATGATGACGATGATGATAATCTCACGATGACCACCTGTGCAATACTGTTGTTTTTCATGAGCCAAAGTTTTAATTCAACTTGGTAAAGTTGAGCTTCTTTGGCAAAGATCTACACTGTTAGATTTTACATTTAGCCTCCATTTGCGCTGAACGTAGTGAATGCAATGCATTTGAGCCATTAAACAGCTCATCCACTCCGAGTCTTTCAGCACTCTCTCCAAAAACACTGGATTGATCTCGGCTGGCGAATCAAATCGCAGCATGATCGCTCTCATCAGCGCCAATATTTGTAATTTTAAATGGAGTTGCAAACCTGTGTACTTTTCATTGCTTCTTCCTCTAACTTCAGCCGTTTGCAGTTCCTGCTGTCACAAAAGCTCCTATCTCAACTAGTGCGCCTGAAAAGTGTGAGCGCGTCGCGTGCGCGTCCCTCTATTGGAATAATGAACTTGCACGAGCTTGCCTTAGTTAATAGCCTCAGTCATAGTTAATCCAGTGTGCGTGGTTATTAGTCTTGGTGTATAAACTAGCGCACAGCTGGCATAACTTTTAGTTGCCGCAGTTTTTTTTTTTTTTTGTTGCACTTTACAATATTACATTAACTGATTTGTGCATAATCTTAAAAACAAGTTCCTATGGGTCATGGAATTTTAAAAGTTTTATTTCAGACCTTTCCGATTTTATGGATTATTTATTTTTGGTCCAGCTTATAAACTGTTTGTTGCTTTAAATTTTAATTTCTATTTACCAAAATATAATTTATTTTATTTTTTGTTTGGAATATTTTTTTTAATTTCCTACTGTTTGTATGTTCAGGAAGGAGACGACTATGATGTCATCCCCGACAGCTCCTTCTACGTTGCCAGAACGGCTGGAAAAGATAATTCCTCTGCCTACTACATTAATACCAAGAAGGCAACCTTCAAAGATGTGGGCACATTACTGCGCAGCCACGGCATCGATCTTGACCACAATCGTTTCCTCATCCTACAGGTAATGACTCGGTCTGTTTCTATGCATTAAAGTCTTTTATTACACTGCTGTTTCACCATACTCGCCTCTGGATTGGTCAGTTGTGTCATTCCAAGGTATGTTATTCCCAGATAACAAGTGCTCAATAACACAGATTTATCCAGGAACTTCTTATCCTGTATACATCCATATACATACATCCACATCCATAAGTATCTGCTTGTCCGTCGCGGCAGTTTTTGACTGTTTGGTGCCATCTTGTGATTAAATAATATGTCTGTTAGTATATGCTCCATTCAGCCAGTTTAGTTTGTCAGCTTTGTATTTTAGATCTTTGGCTCCATCTTGTGACTGAATAATGTACAGGTTAGTGTATACTCCATTCAGCCAGTTTTGTGTCTGTCAGCTTTGCGTTTTATTAAAGATATAATAAACTATTATGACTTAGAACAATTTTTTGCCTATTTTTTATGTTTTGTGGCAAGTAGTGTGTAATAAGCAGGGTAAACTACATTCAGGACGGTTGTTTTCTCAGAATAAACCCTTCAGTCTTATACAACAATGCTGCGCTTTGCTTGATAAACCTGTTGAGCTTTATTCTATGATAACAACCTCCTTGATGTTATTTATCACTAGCATAATCCACCACATTCTTCCATCACTGCTGTTGGCCTCTTGTGTTTTCTGGAGAGTCATGAACAGGCTAAATGGTGGATGAAATCAACCTTAGACCGCTAAAGCAGCGCGTCATGGTTTTCAACATTAGAGAAGGTGCAAGCCATCATTTGCTGCTCTAGAGTTTTAAGGCATTCTCCTACACTAAACCTGACACTTGCTTGAGGTTTGTAAACATGGGCTGTCCGAAAAGGTCAGAGGTCAACATCTGTTCATTCTACCTTCCTCGCTTTAGCAGCACGTAAATATTGGTGTGTTATAGTCAAGGCCAACCCCAATATTATGTGTGCTGCTTCAGTAAGGCAGGAGCGAGCCTCCTTTCACTTCCTGTACATCATTATTCACTTTGGTCAATCACATTTCCTGTGTGCTGGTGCACAAATAAAAATAAATCTGTTTTGTTCTTGTTTGTTTTGAACTGTGCATACAATTTAATGCTACATCGGTTTCATTCTGCACTTGCAAAAATATAGATTTTCTGGCTTAAAGGTTTTGTCTGGTTCATAGTCTAAATATTATTTAAAAATTCCTTAAATCAAGAAGCATGAGCAGAAAAACAATTAAAATTTAAGTTTCTCCTTTATAAAAAAAAAGGCAAAATAATCTGCCAATACAGTGAGCAGAATTAACCCGTTTTATATTATTTGGCTTTTTTTATTTTATTTTTTTACTTGTGCATTCAGATGTTGATGAGTTGTTATAAAATATATATACATCTGTCATGCGTTGCCACTTGTTTCATCCAGTTAGACTTGGGTGTTTGTTCATAACTATTGTTTGTTTATGCAGGTTACATTTCTATCATTATTATGACATTAGCATGTGGCTGTTAATCTAGATCCTAGGTGTCAAACTCAGTTCCAAAAGGGCCGCAGCTCTGCACAGTTTAGTTACAACCCTAATTAAACACACCTGATCAAACTAATTGAGTCCTTCAGGCTTGTTTGAAACCTACAGGTAAGTGTGTTGGAGCAGGGTTGGAACTAAACTGTGCAGGGCTTCGGCCCTCCAGGAATTGAGTTTGACACCCCTGATCTAGATGTTTATTTGGGAATCTGGCATGTTTTTCCCTTTAGCATGGTTCGTTTGGGCACATGTGAACGACACAATCGTGCTCAGATCTAGGGCTGTGCGATTTGGGGGAAAATATCTAATTGCGTTTTTATTTATTTATAGACCGATTGTGATTTTTGATTTGCGATTTATTTTTGTGGTCAAGCTTCAGCTCAATATTCTGTATCGTAGCATAAAATGCAATCAGTTAAAGGAACTGAAAAAATATACACTTCATCTTTTATTTAGAAAAGAATTAAACACTAATTTTCCTCTAGAGCAAACAGTAGTGAGTTATGACATTAGTTATCTCCTGGTGTCTTCGTGATATTTCTTCATACAGTGTAACCACTGCAAACAACTCTGAAATTGTACTTTGCTTTTGCTAGCTACTAGATTAAGTGTCACTGGCAATACTTTGTTTACTTTTTAGCAAGTCACTCTTCATAAAGCCGAATGTGGTGCTTTTTTTTAGGTGCTGGTTGTCGTATTTCGTCGTGCTGTGTCAACAATTCTGCAACCGCTCTTACAAATGACCTGTTTTTATTCAGTGTCTGACTTTGAAACCAAAAAAACCCAGATTAATGATGTGCGTTTTTTCTTTGATAGTAATTTGTCTATTACTGCTTCTGAAGCGGCAGATGCACCATCCCACTTGTTCGCGCTTTCCTGTTTGTTTCTATTATTGTAGGCTTTCCACATAGTTCGGTCGCGCAATTCAGATTGAACAGAACAAAAGTGTGCTCACTCAATTGGCTAGTGATACCGCAGTGTTTCCTCTAGGATTTTTTCCAGCTGTGGCGGCAGGTCTTTTTTTACACAGATCTACCAACTACCTGTGGCGTTATTTCAATGACATGTCGTGAACGCAGTATTAAGTCGAGATCGCATCTATGTAATGGCCTACGAGCACCAGTCAGTCAGCACGTAACCTTAAAGGGTTAAACAAATGTCGCACATCACTACTACGGTTACAGAAAAGTTCACGCTGTTAAAATAGCTTTTAATACGTTTTGGTGCGATTATCACCCACTATTTTAAAAAAAAACTACAATGTTTTGAATGAAAAGCTGTAATGTAGCTGTGGCAGGATCAATTTTGGCGTTGCGCCCCGCCATTGAAGAATGAATGTAGTGGAAAACCATAGACTGTCACACACAGACGGCAGTCACACATTTACTCTCGATGGGGGAAATTATATATTACATATATATTCCAGATCACAGCGTCTTGCAACTTAGCTAATAGCAATGTTTCAAATCGCAATACAATTTCGATTAATCGCACAGCCCTACTCGGATCAGTTCCAAAACAATTGGTCTGAGATCGCCTGAATGAGGTGCTCTTGGCTTTGTTGAAATAAACTCTGAAGCGTTTCGGTTGAGGTGAAAAAGCAATACGATCCAACAAACCAGGCTATATCAGTGTATTATGGATCTGTAATGGGCATACTGATAGAATGATGAGTGAGATATCACTACCGGCAAAAGTGTGTTTTATGTAAAATACGAAAGTGAAAGCATGCCGTCTAACTGAATAGCTCAGACTGAACTATTCAAAAATATATATGATATCATTAGCATTTTGGTTAACGCGACTTCTGATATTAAATCTATATAGACCATTTCAATGTGGTCATGTCACTGGCCAATAAACATTTCTTGCTTGTTATCAAACTATTTCATAGCTGTAATGAGGCAATTCAATCGTAATTTAATGTTAAATTAGCTCTCTAACTTTATTTATCTGTATGTGGCTCTTTTGATACTCGCACGCTATGGAAATTAAAAATGTAAAACAGGAAGTACATTGAGAACATTGTTTTTGTTTACATACCGCAAAATTATCTATATGTTAGAACTCTTTACAATAGAAATGAGGCTCTGTATGAGAAATTCTTACCTCTGATTTATATCTGGTGATGACGATGTCTGTGGGAGTCGCCATTCAAAATAAAATCGTACCTTTTCACTTATAATGTCTCATTTTTTCATTGTTTAAAATAAGGATGTATGACAGCTGAGTTGAATCCTGTAAAATAAAGCAAGCTCTGACCCATTTAAGGATTGTTTACTCGCATGTGAATTGTTTGATCTATTTTGGTCCATTTACAAAGCGAACCACGTCAAGAACAAAACGCAACAGTGTAACAATTTTCATCCCCAGTTCAGAACAAAACAATTGATCTACAGGTGTTAAAGCAGCTTAAGTGTGTACGGAGAGGTGCGTGTGCCAGTGTGTTTGTGTAAGTGCTCTTCTGTTGTGCTGTGTAATTTGTCAGGGTGAGGTGGAGCAGATCGCCATGATGAAGCCCAAAGGTCAGACGGAGCATGATGAGGGCATGCTGGAGTACCTGGAGGACATTATCGGCTCCTGTCGTCTCAAAGAGCCCATCAACATCCTCTGTCGGCGGGTGGAGGCACTGAACGAGCAGCGAGGAGAGAAGGTACCATAATGCCTGACTGAAGACCAAACTATACTTCAGTATTGATGTATTTGCGTCCCTGTCCACATCTTATATCATGTGTATTAGGGCTGCACGATATTGGAAAAATCTGACTTTGTGATATTTCATTTTTCTGCAAATTTTTTATCTTTATTTTTATTTTTTATGTTTTGTGACTTGAGTGCAATTTCAGTCGATGCCATTTGGAATTAACCCAATAGTTTAGATTGATTGGAATAATCTTGTAGTGAAGTGAACCCAATAAATTGCATGTCTAAATAAACCGGATGAAAGTAAAAAAATGTAGTGCTTTACAGTTTTCTGAAGAGTCAAACAGTAGTCAGCTATTTGGGTGCACTATTTGCTGATCAACTATTATCTCGACTCGGCAATGCAGATTCTGCCATGTGACTATTGTGAATGCACACATTGGCATATCGATGCTGAATCGGTGTATTATGCAGCTCCAAGTTGTATATTTTCCAATACAGTTCCAATAGTTCAGCTCAGATCTGGAAAATAAAATAAACCGTTTAAAATTGGACTTCAGACTCAAAACCAACACACATCAGGGATTCGGCATCTACATTTAATAATGTTAAAGAGGTTTAATATGTATTAAATAGACTGTAAACCTTACCATTTCACTGGAGAGCAGTGAGTGCATATTCTGTGCTTCTGAATGTCTGGATTTAAATGTTTCCATCGTGTTTCGTCTGGTGCAAACATCCAAATTGCTCATCACTGCAAATCTCATCGCATAGCGTGTTGTTAGGACATGGGGTTACAATATAACCTGCTCACCTAATGTTTACACATGTAATATTTTTAATCATTTGCTAATCTAAAACCACCTCGTGTGAAACTCTGAATCTGGGTCTCATTTCAGTGTCTGCTACTGTCCACCTGTGGATGCATTTTGGTCAGGGGCGCATGTTTTGAGAGCCTTGCTGATTAAATAAATGAAATACACCATGTTCCACCAAGGCAGAATATGAAATATAATTGGCTAAACTGGCAGTGGGCGGGTTAAAAGAACCAAAATAAAGTTGTATAACGCTCAAAGCAGAATATCTGACTTTAGCATTGTTTTCAGATAAACAAGCATGTTCCTGAAATATTTGCAAACATATTATGGTGTTTTTATGCTTTAGAAGAGTCAAAAACTTACATACAGCACCTTTAAACAAATGTTTACCTTGTTTTTGGTCAGATTTATTGGTGCAAGTTGGTAAAGTTAAATTGGTTCATCTTAACAATTTAAGTGAGCAACATTTTTAGTGTATACAAAGTTTAAAGTAATGTTTTTAATTAGTTTGACTCATTTTTAAATTGAGATGACTAAAATTGATTCAATAAAAAAAAATAAGGCAGGTAGATTTTAGTTTTTTCTTGAAGTTCCTTGATCCCTGTTTATGCAAGAACATGTACTGCTCATGCACTCTATGAATTATTGACTGTGTATTAAATGTGTCCTGTGTGTGTTCACAGCTGAATCGAGTGAAGATGGTGGAGAAAGAGAAGAGCGCTCTGGAGGGAGAGAAGAATAAAGCTGTGGATTTTCTCAGCTTAGAGAATGACATCTTTAAGAAGAGGAACCTCCTCTGTCACTTCTATGTGTAAGAGACAATCACACTGACGTTAAACTTGGCTCCGTGTATGTATGCAGCTGAATAGCCATTTGCTAGAGATGCTACTAGAGACGGGAAGCAAATAATTTTTGGCATGACTGGTGATTTGCGTGCTCACGCTCACAGCCGCAAACAATGTCATCTGCCTGAAACTGAAACTATGATCGCGATTTGCAG